CCTGCGTGGGTGCGAGTTTAGGGGTCATCGCGTGATTTTAGTGTTAGATCTGGTTTTGATGCAGAGGTGATAGGCTTGTGGAAAGTAAGTGTGATCAGACATGAAATTCTCATCGAGACGAGTGAGTAAGGTTGTGGCCAATGGATGTGTTTTGAGTTTATGGTATTGGAAGATGAACATTTATTAAGAGACTTCAGGAACGTCTTATTTCTTCGGTCATTTATTCAACAACGAGAATGGTGCTTGTGTGACTTATACGACGGAAGTGGCTAGACAATGAAGAATGGTGTAAGTAAGAGAATGACTATGTTGAGAGTGCTGCGACTTTGGAAACTACAGTTTGTGAAGTTCGTCATAAGGGAATGGATTGCGTAGTAAATTATAATGATGAAGTTGCACCAACCAAAATTAGAAGTTCTACGGTGGTTTTATAGTGTGGGTGTATATCATTACAAGGTCATTGTACGGCGACTACGACGGTACTCGTGTTATCTTGGTTAGGGTTATGGGCTATGTTGCTTCTGCCATCGATCGGGCTTACGAAATTGTGCATATCATTTTCGGCCGGAGACTGAAGTGCTTTGGTAATGTTTTGCAACTATTTAATGAGTGTAAATGAACAGGTTGTTTGAGTACGACCTTTTCAATGGATCTGATGTCTTCTAGTGGTGGATTTAGCGGTTGTTCATGATGTGGTACTAGTGATATATGGAAGCGGAGAAATCTGAGTTGTCAGCTGTTTCACCTAATCGGGTCAGAAGGTTGATGTTGCATTCTCGATTGAGAAATCAAGTGGTTGCTACTATGAACGCTTGAGTTAAGCATTAATTATAAGGAAAGTTATAGTGGTGGATCGAGTGAATCGATCCTGTCTTGTTTCTAGGACGAGGTACGACCCTTGATTGGTCATGATTATATTGGGAACTAATGACTTCATGATGAGTCAAAAGAAATGGGCAACAATAAGCCATGGATGAAGAAAGTTTTAACAAGTATACTCGTGTAAAGGCAACTAAGGATTTTAGCGAGAAGGTACGATTAAAAAGGAATCGGGTTGGTTTTGTCAACATGTGGGTTGGCAAGGTAAAAAATGATTGGTTGTATCAACTTTTTAGCCATTGGAAGGACTTTTGCATGGTTTGAGTTGTAGCAGTTAAATACTTGTGATTGTAGAAGAGTTCGATGAAGTTTCATTTGAGAAGTTTGACTTAAGGTAAAAGGTAATATGCGGTGGATGTTTGGCCAAGAAACTATAATGATAAATGATTTACGGGAAGAACAAGAGTCTTGCGCGATGGATATAAGTTAAGAGATGTGAAGGAATAAGACATCACGTGTAGATCCTTAGTTTGAAGTTGAGGATTGTGTAAATTTCTGCTTTCATGTTAGATATGACAATGCAAGGTGGACTGGTTCAGCACAAATGTATGATGTGTTATCAGCTACTTTCTGAACACTTGGTATTGGTGGTAAACGTTGATGTATGAGGAATTCTGCAGTTTTTGAATTGGTTTGAATTGTTCAGCTTATGGTAGGTGGCTTACGAGTGTCCAACCGGAAGGACTTAAGCTCTACATGGTTATTGAGGATTTTGAACTGGGTTGATAACTCTATTTATGGAATTATCCAGACTGTTGTAACGCGTTACATAGATCCTTGATGGTAAATAGAGGTTGTGTGCTCATAGTATACGGAATTATTGGAGTGACCAAGAACTGCTTCAAGTTTCGGCATGAGATATATGATGGTTTGAATAATAGTTGAAGCTGGGTAAGTAAAGGATCGCGTGTAATCGATATTGGTCGTGATTCAATAGTTCTATCTCAATGAAAAGGTACTATGACATTTAGCCGATTCAGAGATAGTGGGTTCGATGTGGTATTGGGGTGGTGGAAGGTTTTCGGAAGTTCTACAAATGTCTTCTTGCTTTTGGAAAGGTATAGAGAGGCTACCGTATGTGGCTACAGTTTTTGGCTACTTTGGTATTTATCTTGCCCCTGTATGCATGGTTCAACTAGGTGTGGTTCGATGTTTAGGTGGCCCGTGGGCCTAGTTCTTCCGTTGCTGGAGTTGTCTACAATTACGGATCCTACTTCAGTGTTTTGGTGGCATCCTTAGAGGTTTTAT